TTTTTTTTTATATATATATATATTTCTTATTCCTTTCCAACCACGTTGCTTGTTCTCCACGCAGTGACAGTGTGTCATTTTTGAATTCAATATACATACTATTTGAGACATATGATGTAACTTTTATTTTTATACTAGTAATCATCTCCTGTATATATGCATAAATGTAAATAAAATATTATAAATTATGTATTTAAATATAATATAAATTATAAATTAGATAATAAAATATCACATTTTTAAAATTTATTCATTATTAAAAATAAAATAGTATAAATATAAAATATTGAAATATAAATAAATCACTATATTGATCGGAAAAGGTTTGAGTGCAATGTAACTTTTAATTTTGATGGATCACAACCAATTAATTTACTTGAATAATAATAAAAAAAATAAGATTTTAAGCAACAATGAATATATTATTATTATTATTATTATTATTATTATTATTATTATTATTATTATTGTTATTATTATTATTATTATTATTATTATTATTTATATTATTATTAATAAAATTTTAAGCAATATAATAGCCAATTATTATTATTATATTATTATTATTATCATCATCATCATTATTATTTTATAGCAACAATTATTTATAAGATTTTAAGCTGATTTGACTGTGCTATTAAATTATTGGCTATTTTTTTAAAAAGAAAATTGTTTCTTGTGATACAAAATAATAATAAATGAAAAGATACATTGATTTTAATGAGCTTGAACAAAAACATTTACAATGTAATTTTTGTACTTATGTAATTTATATATGACATTTGGTGTAAATTACTATTAGTTGGTATTATTATTATTAACTATTATATAACAAAATAGTAAAAAATATATGAATACATATGATTTATAACGGTTTTCAACCATAACTAGCTAACAAATTGGAGGAAAACATTACTAAATGAAGTTGAATAATATAAAATGAAAACATTACTAACAAATGAATTTTATTGCTTCTCCTCCTCCTTTAATTTATCTTCCCTTTAACGGATTTCTAAAGGAGATGTTCAAATAGGTGTAAAGTGATCACTTCACTTAAAATTGTAATACCTTTTATTTTGCTTCTATTCCAAAAAGGATAATTGAGGTGGTTAATTTTATTTTATTTACATTTTCTTTTCGGTTTAATTAATGGAGGTTTATGTCTTCCCGTATCTTCTCTCCGTTTCTATGTTTTGTAAAACCAGCTGATAAGTAAGATTATAGTTATGTTTGGTACACTAATAAACTAGCTTATATCTTATTTGGTTAGTTTATCAGGAAACTTATAAGCTAATCAATTAAGTTATATCCCACAATAAATTAGAGATTCATAAACAGAGATTATTGGTGATAAAGGACATTTTTCTGTTTAAAATTAGTTAAAAATTATTTTAATCCTCATATATCCTTTTTTTCCCACTATTAAAATAAAATTCTCACCACCAAATACTAGTAACAATTGAATTAACTTTTTTTCCACTTTATTTTGAAATTCTTTCAAGTAAAACTTTTATACATCTGTTCAGATTGGTAACTATTAGTCGAATCAATTCCACATAACTTATTTAACAAATATATATATTTATACTTAGCTTATATTTCTATTGTTTCATTTTTCTTAAATAGCATATATATTTGCTCAAAACTATAAAAAGACCAACAAGAAAAAAGCAATAAATCACATGGAGGACAAAGATAAAATTATTATTTTTTTTTTTCTATCGGTAAAAGTAAATTTATAGATCAAAATTAGAGTACAAACGACCGAAAGTCGACATACAAAAGTGCAATGAACAGCCACATGAAGATAAAATTACTTAATATATCATTTGCTTGTAACTCGAACTGTCTTGCACACTTGGTAAAAAAACACCATCAAACTCCTTCTTCGAATCTTTTTATTATTCATTTGGTAAAACTAAAAACAGAAACAGAGAAAGAAAAAATTATTAAAAATATAGAGAGAGAGCGAAAGAGAGAAAATGTGGCCATTAATAAGCCTATAAAATGCTCACACATCCTTTTCTCAATCGCAAGACCATAAAACAAACACCCAATTAAAAAAAAAATATCCCAAAATGTCCAACACCTCATCAGAATCCAAACTCGCCACCGCGAAGACCATCCTCTCAGCCGTCGGCTCCGCCGCGGCCACCGCCGTCCTGATCCGCAGCGTTGCCCACGACCTCCTCCCGCCGGAGTTCCACGAGCACATTTATTCCAGCATCCGGCGCCTCCTCTCCTCCTTCTCCAACCAGCTCACCATGGTGATCGACGAGTTCGACGGCCTCGACCCAAACGACATCTACCAGTCCGCCGAGTCCTACCTCGGCCCCAAAATCAGCCCCAACACCCGCCGCCTCAAGATCAGCCGCCCCGAAAAGGAGAACCACTACAAAATTACCATGGAGAAGGACCAGGAGATCGTCGACACCTACGCCGGCGCGAAATTCAAGTGGGCGTGGATATGCACGAAAACCGAGACACAATCCTTCTACAACCCGCGCGACATGAACTCCACCCTCAAATCGGAGGTCCGCTCGTTCGAACTCACTTTCCACAGGCGGCACAAGGATTTGGTCGTGAACTCATATTTGCCCCACATCGCGGCCGAGGCAAAGAGGGCAAAGTACGAGAAACGGACGCTCAAGATCCACACAGTCGACGGAGAGACGCTGAGGTACGAGGACGTCAACAACGTGTGGACGCCGGCGACTTTCGACCATCCGGCAACATTCGACACGCTGGCAATCGATCCGGAGCAGAAGGGGATGATTTTGCGGGATCTGGAGAGGTTTCTAGGGCGGAGGGAGTTTTACCGGAAAGTGGGAAAGGCGTGGAAAAGGGGGTATTTGCTGTACGGGCCGCCGGGGACTGGGAAATCGAGCCTGATTGCTGCCATAGCCAACTATCTGAAGTTCGATGTGTACGACTTGGAGCTGACGGAGCTGCAGAAAAACTCAGATCTGAGGAAGCTGATTGTGGGGACGGCCAATCGGTCGGTGCTGGTGGTGGAGGACATCGACTGCACAATCGATTTGCAGGAGAAATTGGCTAAAAGGGACTCGTCTGAGGAGCATCAACATAACTCGGAAGACGAAAGCAAGGTTAGATGGATTTATTTATATTCTTTACCAATTTTTTTTTTCTATATATAGTATCTATATTATAAAAATAAATTTAATTAATATTTATTCAAACTGATAAAATAACCAGTAAAACTAGTTGAACCGGTTGGTACCATGACGTATCTGGTATAATTGTCATTGTGATATTTAAAGCACTGTTTAGCATAGTTGCTAAACAAAACGAGTCACTCGTGAGCTCGGCTTGTTAAGGGGAGCCTAACTGATTTTTAATAATCATATTGTAAGTCAACTCTTGGAAGTACTTAGATCTTTGCAATTATCCTTTGTTCCATTGTCACTATAAACACAATACTATCATCAATTTTTTCTTAACAAACGCTAAATACGTGCAATTATTAAATGTACATGTGACACTATCGGGTTTGCTCAACTTCATCGACGGCTTGTGGTCGAGCTGCGGAGAAGAACGGATCATAATATTCACGACGAATCACGTGGAGAAGCTCGACCCGGCCCTGCTCCGGCCCGGCCGGATGGACATGCACATAAACCTCTCGTATTGCACTCCGAGTGGGTTTCGGCTCCTCGTCGCCAACTATCTTGGGATCAAAGAACACACTCTGTTTGGGAAAATCGAGGATTTGATTCGGAAAGAGAACGTGACTCCGGCTGAGGTGGCCGAGGAGCTGCTCAAGGACGATGATGCCGATTTTGCCCTAAAAGGTCTGATTGATTTCATGCACAGGAAAATGAAGAAAAATGAAGAGGATGAGAAGGTGGTGAAAACAGAGTCAGGGGAGAAGAAAGAGAGTGGTGAAGAAAATGGTGAAAAGGAGGGAAATTTGAAAAGTGCTGACCAAGAAAGTTGACACTATTGACCATTTTAGTTGGTGGACCAATAAAATATGGATTTTAGTAGGAGAAATTATTTTGTTGGTAACAACATGGAAAATGTATTTATTTAAGTTGATTTATTTTTATATAAACTCTATTTAAGTGTAATTATTTAATTAATTTTACATAATTTATAAATGGCGCCATAAACTCAATTTATTACTTAAGTTAGTATATTGAGAGAAAAAAAACTTTACATTTATTAAGAAATAGAAAGAAGATTAACATGTTACGTTAAAAAAAAAAAA